AAAAGCATACCCTTATCCCTAACCTAGCTATGTTTTTCCCTATCTTATGAACAGCAGCTACACTTTCCCTCCTCTTACTAAGCATGCAGCTTGAGAATGAATCTAAAATGGATGCTGTCCAGTAGGTGGGAGGGTCTGCTAGGGAGGCTGTGCTGCTAATTGGCTGGAAAGTGTCTGCTGACTGTGAGGTACAGGGTCAAAGTTTACTCAATGATGACGAATAGGGGGCGGGTCGAACCGCGCATATGTTCGCACGCCGTGGCGAACGCGAACATGCTATGTTCGCCAGGAACCGTTCGCTGGCGAACCGTTCGGTACATCACTAATCTTCACAAAGAAATGTATTTTGGGACACAAACCATTAGCAATTTTTATATTTTGCAACCGATATGTTCTTGCTTTCTCATCTGTGACAACTAGGGCTTTCTCTAAATGCTATATTATATGTATTGGTAAATATAGTAAATTCATATCATATGACACACATAAATAAATATGAATTGTGTGTAAGGACCACCTTTTTTTCACACACATCATTGTATAGTAGCACAAGTGAAAAAAATACCATAAAATATGTTCATTTTCACAGCTTGAATGTATGTGATTTTTATCTATTTATGGCAAATGCAGAGTAATCAATAGAACAAGAGTAGTGAAATTAACTTCCAGACTGAGTGTCAGTCACACTGTGCAGCACTGCCCCAGGAAGCAACTCTAGCAGCCATCTGAGAAGTGGCCAGTGGAGGTATCCATAGGCTGTAATGTAAACACTGCAATTTCTCTGAAAAGACAGTGTTTACAGCAAAAAGCCTGAAGGGAATGATTCTACTCACCAGAACAAATAAATTAGCTATATTTGTTCTGGTGACTATAGTGTCCCTTTGAGAAAACGATAAAAGATTGCACTCATGTTTTGAAAAACACTCATATGGACCAATGGAATTGTTAAAATTGTTATAGAGGAGGGGTAATATTGATACACTTGAGAAAGACGCAGTGGTGAAATACTTTATGACATCAACAGCACAGCCTGTAGCATCAATGGCAGGAAACTACGAGAGGACCCAGTGCATCACAGCATTTGAGGGTTACAAAAAGGAACAGTTGATTGTGATTGTAAATGTAACCATAGATATTGTATTTTAATAAATCTACAGAAAGATCTATGTACACTAGTCATATGCTAAATGGATACAGAGCGAACAGACTGTCAGGCAGACAAAGGACAGCAAACACTGAATGAATGGGTACCCTCCACACCCAAACTATAAGAAAGATGTACACTAGTGCCTGATCCTCACGATTCCTCAGATCCTGTCCACTTGGTTTCTGGTGACATTTTGGAGACGTTCAGAATTCTGGTTTATGATATCGTTTCCAGAACTTCTTGATGGCATTATTTTCCCATTATATATGGTTTGCCATTATGTTGTTTTTTTAAAATATTAATTAATTTGTTTTTTGTATTATTTTGTTTTTTTCGTGTGTGATAATGAGCACTACTTAGCTGTTTTAGGTTTATTTGCAGAAAATCCCCTAAAAGTAAATTAGGGAAATTGCGCAAGTGTACTTTTTTTTCTGTTGCATGGCACCCCAAAATAATTTTTGTTCTATTATAAGACCCAGAGGTATGAGTTACTTTAACACTTATAAGCAAAGCAAACACTATTTCGACTAAAAAAAAGATAATTTTATTTAATTTGGAATGAATCCAGGAAAGTGTTCTTGCAGTCACAGAAAATGGTATAAACTGTTGAATTCTGAAGCACAGGTGTGTGCTTGACCTTCACCAAGATTGATATTAATACCCTAGGAAGCCTTGAGAAAATGACGCTGAAGATTACGGAGTTTGAATTGTAGATCAGCCAATGCCGCTTATTCATAAAGCCAGTGGTATGCTTGGTCATAAAAAATGTTCAAATAAGGAGTCACGTAAGATGATGTCTTCTCATAAGCATCCCTGTTAAAGGAATAGTCCGGCATGAGGCACAGATATTTTATCTTAACATGGAATATTCTAGACAATATAAGCAATACCTGACATTGTGTGTAAACAGCTAAATCATTTAATAAGAGCCTAGTATCATGGTGTGGAGAGACAATATATAAATAAATATTTACATATATATATATATATAGAGAGAGAGAGAGAGAGAGAAGCAACAACCAAAGAAGTTATGGTGGGGAAACATTGTGATTGAAAACCCCTTCCACCTCAAGTCTGTGGATAGTTAATACAATGTTAAACAAAAATCTGCACACCAGTCAAGCCATGAAACTGCTATGTTTATTTAAAAAAAGGGTTAATCCTAGAGGCACCTGGCACCCAGACCACTTCATTAAGCTGAAGTGGTCTGGGTGCCTAGAGTGGTCCTTTAATATTCTTTCTGTACTGTCTATCAAGCTTTTTTGTCAAGTTCATATTCTGTTTTTTTTCTGAAATACTTACTTGACTTTCTCCTCTACAGCAGGGATTCTTACTTTATCAAATAGTTCCTTAGCTTTGGTACTGGCCTGTTCAAAAGATGAGCTTAACACGTTCTGCACTTGTGATAAATAAGTAGGGGGCTCCTCTCGCTTTTGTATCCGGTAACTCTGAATCCCTGGAAAGACAGAGAGAAAGATAGGTTATAGGGCTTTCAGATATACCATGTGAACCCTATTGATGCATTGTTAAAATGTAAAAATGCAGATTAAATATTCTGATGTAGACATTCCAGCCTTTTCTTGACCAAAATGCCCATGACGTTATAGCAGTAAGCAGGTAGCTGAGCATCATTTGACTTACAATTACTAGGTATAGACTCATATGTTGCTAAGGTACAACAATAAAAGTCCAAAAATAGTTCAAGTAGGATACAGGAATGATTTTGTGTGTTATGTGCCTTCAGATTGTGCTTCTTTTATACTTTTTCCCATGGTCAAAGAAGGAATGTATGGTATATTCGTGGAATGGTATGTATGGAATAATGTATTCAATGTATGTTGAAAGAGTTATCGTGATGGAGAAATTAAAAAGATAAATGTAAGCAATCTATTACTTCCGATGTATCAAATAAACTAGCACCACTAGAGGTTCTATTTGGGCTACAAACACCACAAGATGAGAAGATCTAACATATGTGACAACTTCTTCATGAAATTCAGTGAATTAATTACATACTTGCGTTACTATACTTGGCCAGAGTATATCGATTTTGCAGTTTATATTGCATGTTCTTGTATTATTTAGGTATCCCTAAATATGTTTGAAATACTTCAGAGAAAATAATATTTGCAGCCATTTTCCATATATCTATAACTAACATTCTATGGGTTATTTGAGTTGACTAACGTTAGGGAATTGCAATAACAACTTTTTAAGAGACACTCACACCCCAAAACAGAGACACTCACACCCCGCTGGGTTCCTCTCAGGAGATCCGGAGCATTACCATGGCAATGCCCCCGATCTTGCGAGAGTGAACTCTAGCCTCGCAGGCTAGATTTCACTCACCACTTGCGACACCAGGGATGGTGTGAGAGTGCCAGTCCCCCCCTCTCAGGCACCACCATGCCGCCCTCCCCCAGGCTAAAGGTAAGAAGGGAGTGCCAGTTTTTTTGTTTTGTTTTTTAAATTTATTAATTCTTATATAGGAATGAATCTGCCTCCCCCAATACACAATCCTCTCCTAACATATACATACACACATCACCCTCACACTCATCACCCTCACACACAGCACTCTCACGCACAACACTTCCACATACAGCACTCTCACACACATTACCCTCACACACAACACTCTCTCACTCAAATTACCATCACACACACATCACTCTCAGACACAGCACCCTCACACATCACCTTCACACATAGTACTCTCATACACATCACTCTCACACACAACACTCTCTCACACAAATTACCATCACACACATCACTCTCCCTCACAGCACTCTCATACACAGCATCCTCACACATAGCACTTTCACACACAGCACTCTCATGCACATCACCCTCACACACAATACTCTCACTCACAGCACCCTCACACACAGCACCCTCACACACAGCACCCTCACACACAGCACCCTCACACACAGCACCCTCACACACAGCACCCTCACACACAGCACCCTCACACACAGCACCCTCACACACAGCACCCTCACACACAGCACTCTCACACACAGCACTCTCACTCACAGCACCCTCCCTCACAGCACCCTCACTCACAGCATTCTCACACACATCACCCCACACACACACAAACAGTTCCCTCTTACACACAGATTACCCTCACACACACAGATTACCCCCACACACACAGATTACCCCCACACACACAGATTACCCACACACACACAGATTACCCACACACACACAGCTCCCTCTCTCACACACACACACATTACCCTCACACACATCACCCTCACACAGACACCTCACCCCTCACACACAGCACCCTCACATACACAGCACTTATACACACTCTCAACAGCCCCTAGCCACATGTGCATTACATTACACCACAAATACAACTAAAACAGACCTTATTACACAATGCCACACCACAATCAGCTCACTCTACACACATGCAATCCCACAAGCAGGCTCCAAACACACGCACAATACTTTTCCTGGCCCTTTTGTCTGCTGGTATCCCATTTATAGAGACACCAGAGACAAGTTGAAACACAGCACAGGCATGTACAGCAGAGCTCTGCACATGGTCTGCCCTGGAAGAGAATTGAGCCAACATGCTCACCCTGTCTGCCCCGCCCCCTTCTTAGTAGGCCGCTATGATTAAAAAATGACCAGGCCTAATTTGTTTCCCAGTCCGGTCCTGTTCCAAATCAATGAATTTTGGGTGAAACCGCTATATCTGATATTACAAAAGGAGGCCCTAAAAATGTGTCCTGGACGCACTTCATTAATTGTGGCATTTCATCCGTAGGAATTGCATCCCTGTTTGATCGATTTTTTTTTTCTTGAATCGCCTATCCTTATGTTGAATATTTTTAATTTCATATAATTAAATAAACATTGTCTTCTGAATTACAAAATGTATTTTAGGGAGCCAAAGTGAGGAGACTATCCACAAAGACAAACTCTAGTTTTGCTGTTTAGTTAATGAATGTTTAGTTTATTTTTCTAAATATGAGATATTCATAACACGGACCTGTACTCAGGAGAAGTAAGAGCAGGGACACAGCAGTGACTTGTGTTGGATTCATGTTCTCATGCAATGCTTCTTCACAAGCTGAAGGAAAAGAGATGCTTAGTGGTGAGTTTATTCTCTGATATAATCACACAGTAAAAGGAACATCAGAAAGTCTACAGACACTCTGCAAAACCCCAAAATCTCAGAGAGGTAATAGAGATGCTTTGTTGATGGGACATAAAAATTGAAAGTAAGAATGCAAAACCCCCCCAAAATTGGCCCAAGGTGTAACTTTTTACCAGAAATCGGTAGAGTTTAGCTCAACACCTGAAAAAAAGGATAGATAATTACATATATCTTAAACGCCAAATAATACATCAATCTGTTCTAAAATGGTTTCAATACTTATAATGGGGTACCCAGGGCATTCCTGGCTCAAAAGTCACTACAGTTAGCAGGAGTGGTTATTGTGCTTGGAGTATTCAATTAATGTTTGAAAATTTGCTATCTAGATTATGTATCATATGATCTTAATTATATTTAATTTTATTTTTCTAAATATGCAAAACCAAAAACATTGCACAATATTTTTTATTTGGCCTCTACACATTGAAATTGTTTGTCAATCCATGTGCAGGAGAAAAGATAAGATCCCTGTGCAGAGGAGTTAAAGAGGTAATGGGTCTGGTAAACAGGGGATTGGTTAGATAAACAGTAAATGATACAGAGGACTTTGGTTTCTAGAGACAGTGCAGAAAATTTATATGTGTGTGTGTGTGTGTGTGTGTGTGTGTGTGTGTGTGTGTGTGTGTGTGTGTGTGTGTGTGTGTGTGTGTGTGTGTGTGTGTGTGTGTGTGTGTGTGTGTGTGTGTGTGTGTGTGTGTGTGTGTGTGTGTGTCTTAGGATAAATGTCTGCTTTTTAAAAGCCACTGAAAAATAATCATATAAATGTATTTCCTGAAATGTTAACTTTTCCAGAATAATGTTTTTTTAAACTTGCGTATATTGCAATGTTATATAAAATGAACTTTCAAGCGTAGAAAAAGAGGAAAAATTGCTTTTTATGCAGTTCTACTTATGCCCACTGGGTGTTCCAGAGCTAATATGTATTTATAACATCTGCATTCTTTCTGTATTTCTCTCTCTTGTTCACCATTTATTAAATCAGTGTTTTCCGATAGACTTTAGTGATAAAATAGTTTTTCATTTATGAGCATTAGCCGTATTTACTATTAACAGAATCCAGAGCCTGTTCTGTATTTGTAGTGACTTTATTCACTAAACAACAAATTGCAGTGTCATAAAAACTGAATTGCTATATTTAGGCTATAGCTAAATTGGCAAAATTATTCAGGTTAGCTATGGTCACACTTGGCTATTTTAGCCCATATTCTACAATTAGCTTTTCAATTATTCAGGAGTTTGCTATGATGAAATATAGACGTGCAAAAAGTTTGTTTCAGACAGTCGTCCGAATTAAATTCCTGTTAATGCACACCCAGACGTATTTATCGTCAGGGATTTACCTGCGGAATCTTATTCATTAACGTATAGTGAAATATAAAGCATAATTAAATAAACTCCAAAATAATGAACATGATATTAAATGAAATTTCAGATTTCCACATTCCCATGATTTCATGCACACTCACAAATTTTCAGTTTAAATAAAAAAAATGTAATTGCCTTTGTAGTCAATAATGTCAGGGGGGGCCAGCTTGCTAGCATTTATTTGTCATAAAATAGTGTCATACTTATTTGCCTATTCAGAACACAGTTACAGCATCATAGTTAACATGCAATAATTTTAAATAAATAGAAAATGGGCTCTATGTGAGAATTAAAAAAAAATAGAAATATATTGGCAGTAAGTTTTTTGCTGGTTCACAATAATGTGGCAGTTTCACAAAACAAAATATGTTTCAGCCCTCTTATCAACCACACTGACAAAACAAAAATGGCACTTTTACATTTCCAAATGCTACTCCATCCAAACTGGATGCACCCTCTAACCCACCACCTGCGCTCTCATTCTATCACTGCCATCCAGGTTGGACAGAATTATACTTGGTCATATGGTAGTGGAGTTTCCACATTATAAATGTGACTGAAGAGGAGGTGGGCCTTGCACTAGGTAGCATGGAGAGTCTTGACCTTTGTCAATCTGCTTTGAATTAAAAAAAAATAGTGGAAAGTGCCTAATGACATATAACTATAGCACTAAAGTGGGCTGTAGTGCTTATAGTGCTTAGATTGCCACTTTAAGAAAGTCATTAATTTTATATCATCAAAATTTGCATGGTGTAACTTTATTTATCACTTTAGAACTTTTGCACCAAATTAATACTTTAATTGACGGTATACTTTAGTTCAGTAATAAACAAGATATATTTACAAACGGTAATTAATACGAACCTCTAAATTACATCCCACTGCGTAATACTATGTATCATGTAAAATATATGCTTCAACGCTTATTTAGAAAAAAATAAATTAGGTTTTCATTTTTTGGGGGGTGCACTGAAAAATTAATAACTGTTTTTTTCCCTCAGTGGATAAAACTTCATAGTTTCCTGGCAATGAAGTAAGAATTGATACTGTAAGATAGTTACGTACCTTGCGATCTGACTATTCTTCAGGTTCTGGAAAAGACAGTACATACAATATCAGTTATTATTACAACGCAGAAGTGTAATAGAAGCTGTCTAGTGTGAGAAGCAGATATTATCGTTAACCAAAGTGCTTGAGTGCAGTTGTAGAGATGTTAGATGGGATGAAATCTGTACATGGGAATATCAGCCAGATGGTACTTAATTCATAGTACTCTCAGCAGGTGTACATGTGTAGGGATAGAACTCTCAGCCAGATGTTAGAGAAGCATTATTGCTACACAATTACTGCTACAATCTAACACTCAAAGCATTACTCCAAATAATAACATCCATTAAGAACTCTTACCTCTCACCCAAAAAACAATTCAAGCAACCAAACCACCTCAAATATTAAAACCAATCAGAACCACCACCAACAAACATGCAGGTAAGTGTAAATACAACTTTCATTCAGATGTACGGTTAGGATGGTTAATACAAGTGTGGAAATGTAAAAAAAATAAATAAAAGCAGATATACATTTAACAGATATACGATTTAATTTCCCCAAATTGCCTATAACCAATCTGACCTGTCCCGTTTGTCTTCTGCCCAACGTGATCCTAAATTATCCTGACACTATTTCCAAAAATAATTTTATATACACCTCTGGCATTATTACATCATCTACCCAGTTACTCCCCCGCATGTTCCTTGTGTTGAATCCCAATGTTCTCCCGTTCCCCATTTGTCCTTTATCGTTTCTCCCATTTTAACCACAAGCTGTTTCTTCCAATCTTCTTCTGTTCCTCACTGTTCACCCCACACAGCTTTTCTACACATCAGTTTTCTCCTTACGTTAACCCTTCTCCTTAATTTTTTATTTCGCCCCATTATCCCCTCCTTACATTCTCACCTCTTCTGCTGTTTCTCCAGACACCTTGGCGAGAATATTATAATCCTTTTTGTGATGTGTTGTCAGTACTGAGGGTCTAAGTCCATGCAAACATGAGACTGAGCGACCCGAGGTTCAGAGGTCAGACAGAAAAGCTTTCACAGAAACTGCACACCTTTTCAATAGGTGTGAGCTCATCGCTGCTGTACACAGTTAACTCTACCATATAAGTATATTCAATAGCTGCTTGTGCTGGGCATTGATCTACCCCGACCCCCTCCATTAAGATGATGAAGATGAGATATATGCAGCTGTTGCATCATTATAATACTGTAATGTATGTTTAAAAACAGACATACAATGAATGCTTCCTTTAGGTTGTGTTTTTAGTAAAAATATTGCATGCCCCAGTTATGTGCCCATCATCTTACATATTTCCAAATGGGGTATAGTATATGTACTATATGTACACTAATATAAAATATACAAATTTAAACTTTTGCCCATTTGCTTCAAAGTTGCTCTAAACTGTTAGGATTTTTACTCTCGTTCAATGGTATGCTTGATTTGTCCAAATATATACTTTTTATGGGGTTCATGTGTGATTTTGGGGTACTTTCAGAATGTAGATAAAATATGTTATTTTTCGCCTGGAGATAATTGAGTTGATACAGTAATTGACTCAATTATCTCCCAGATAGAGGGGAGGTATGTATGCCATGTGTGGGAGTGCTTTATATTGTATCACTGCTATTATTGGTGTATAAGTTTGTGTCTCAGTCCCCAACAAGGTTCATGTGGGTGTCACCCTTGCATGGGGACTTACATAAAAGGCCAGTGAGGCTATCATTAAACCATTCCTGCTTAACCCTCAACACGTAGCCTCGTCTCGTGATTGTAGAGGACCGCTATACAGCTATACCACTAGCTCTTGTAAGAGCTCCAGAGCTATATTGGATTCATGGTCTGCTGGGAGATCAACTGGAGAACATTGCAGCACTGCTCAGACTAGGGAAAAAGCACATCTCTGGCAGTATATACCCCTACCCACTTGGGGTAACTGTCACATTGGTGGCAGCGGTGGGATGGTCCTTTTATTCCCAGAGCAAGTGCTGACCGGATGGAGAGCCAGTATGAGAAGCTAAAAAGACCATATTTGAAAAACTTGCTGGAGAGCCGTGGACGCATCACAAGTAACCGACCACGGAGAGAATTCATTGCCGACCTACTGGAACTAGATGAACTAAACCTTACGACAGGAATGGCCGAACCAAATGTCCCATACGTAGAGGAAGATGAAACACTACGGATTGTTCGGGCACGTTTGGCGATGTATGGGCCGAACCTGTTGGAAGAACGAATCGCTCAAATATTCAGTGCTGTGGAGGCTGAAGCCCGTGAAAAGAGGGAATACCATTTGCATTTGGTAACAGCACAGTGGCCTGCACCCCCAGTGGAAGCTAATCCTACCCCTGCAGCTGAACGTCGAGAGGTACCATTTGCAGCCTTCAAGTCATTCCTGGAAGCAAAAGGGGAGATGATGGCTACCTTGCGGAGTTTGAGAGACAGTATGCCTTATATCAAGTACCCTCGGAAGAATGGGTCACCATTTTGTCAGGCAAATTGTCTGGTAAAGCATCCAAAGCTTTTCGAGCCATCCCCAATGAGGAAATCAACCATTACCACTTGGTAAAAGAGGCCCTACTCACACAACGTATGCTGTCACCCATGAAGCCTTTCGCCGGCGATTTCGGGAATCTAAAAAGAAAGTGGGAGATTCGCATATGGAAATGACATGTCGCTTACACCGCACCGCTTCCCATTAGATTACCAGGTGTCAAGCTAGCACAGGAGAGGAGGTACTCCAGCCTTTTCTCCTAGAACACTTCCTGCTCGCACTCCAACCCAAACTGAAAGTGTGGGTACGGGATCGACGACCCCTCACTTTCACTGATGCCGCCCGCTTAGCAGACGAGTATGCTGATACCAGAAGGATGGGTCAGATCACCCTGAGACCCCTTCCCCGCACCGAATCCCGGGCTCCTGTCCCCACTTACCTCCCTGAATTCCAGGCTCCTGTTCCCCCTGGTCCCTCTCACTACCAAGATCCACACAAGTATTGAATCCACGGTAACAAGCCAAGATTAAATGCTTCCGGTGCCACGTGGCTGCCAATTGTCTGTTGGGGCCCTCAACCCAACAATGGAGACATCACCCACCAGTAGCCAACCCTGTGCCACCCCATACCTTGGCTGCTCACTGTGTAGAAACCGAGGCCAGCTCCGAGGAGTATTTGGGAGTTCTATACGAGGCGGATCCCGTACAAGCTGCTTCCCCAGACAACCGCCAGCAACACTGACAGGAGGTACAAATAAATGGACAAGTGGCCCAAGGATTACGAGACAGTGGCGCTACCCTAACCTTGGTCCAACAACACTTAGTCAAACCAGAGGAGTGCTCTAAACATACCGTTGCTGTTCGGGTGCCTGGGGAAGCTGTGTTTCGTCTCCATACTGCCCGTGTACACCTGGATTGGGGAGCCAGATCCGGCATGGCAACTGGAGGTATTATGGATAATTTGCCCGCAGAGGTCTTGTTGGGAAATGACCTGTGACCCTTAACCTCTGCTTACATACCTACTACACCCACTACCGTGTATCCAGTGACAACCCGTTCGCAAGCCCAAACAGCAGGAACCAGGTCACCAGGCCAGGAGACCCCGGTAAGAACCCAACAGACCCCAACAGTGGCCAGAGACCCCTTAGCTTGGGACAACCCCGAGGAGTTTGGGAAGGAGACCAGGAGGACCCGTCCCTTCATAAATATTGGGAGAAGGCAGAGACAGAGCAAGGGAGGGATGAGAACGAGAGGCTGCTGGGAGATCAACTAGAGAACACTGCAGAGCTGCTCAGACTGGGGGAAATGCACATCTCTGGTGGTATATACCCCTCCTCACTCAGGGTTACGGTCACACCAATCATTAGACTTGTACATTTGGTTTCAAATGATATTTCTCATATTCTTGATTTTTGCTTCAATGCTTTTTCTTGGCTCTCCCCAAGTTAAAAGGTAATCGAGACGTGGACCCGGTGCTCACTGTGCCTAATTTTTTTCAGACAAATCCATTTTTTTATAGCCTTGCGCAAGTCTGCCAATTCATATTTTTGAGTTCTAGATAATTTACCACTTTCTTCAGAGAAGGGCTGCCATTAGAAATTTTGGGGCCCCACGAGTCGGCCACGAGTCGGCCAACAAGCTCTTCCCGAGTCCTCCCACAATGATGCAGGACTAAATGTAGTGTGTATAGTGTGTAGAATTAAAATGTGTGTAAAGGATGTAGTGTTTGTGTGTATTAGATACAGTGTGTGCAGCGGATGCACATTCTGTGTTTGTGTAGTATGTATAATGAATGCAGAGTGTGTGCTTGTGTAGTAGATGAAGTGTCTGTACAGTGAATACAGAGAGTTTGTGTAGTGTATGTAGTGGATATAGTGTGTGTGTAGTGGAAGTAGCATTTGGTTGTATTAGATGCAATGTGTTTAGTGGATGCAGTGTCTATGTTTGTTTAGTGGATGTAGTGTGTTTATTAGACACAGTGTATGCGTATAGTGAATGTAGAGTGTTTGAATGTGTGGTGAATGTATTGTGTGTGTATAGTGAATGCAGGGTGCTTGTGTAGTGGATGTTGTGTATGTATAGTGAATGCAGAGTGTGTTAGTGTAGTGAATGCAGAGTTTGTGTTGTACTAGTAGTGTATGCAGTTTGTTTAAAAGTTGTGCAAAAGGAGCATTTTTATTCACATTAATTTTAATACATTTTATTCCCCCCTCCCTGCTTCTTACCTGGTCCAGTGAGGGGGAGATTCCATTCCTTTGTGGTCCCCGGCTACCTGTTACTGCAGAGGGGCCCAGCACACTGCGTCTGTACATTACAGCTTCTCACTCTCATTAACTCTCGCAAGCATGGCTTGCGTGCTGCGTTACCATGGCAACGCTCTGACGGTCGTGCATCTCTTGAGAGTTAATGAAAGTGAAGAGCTGTAATGTACAGATGCAGTCTGCTGGGCCCCCTCTGCAATAACAGGTAGCCAGGGGCCCACAGTTGTACATATATAACGATAATCGCTATATATGTGCACATTGTGAATGTGGGGCCTGGGACTGCCAAAGCAGTCTGGGCCCCCCAGGACCGTCGGGCTCGTGGCAACTGTCATGGTTGTCACCCCCTGATGGCGACCTTGCTTCAGTCCATCAAGACCCTCATATGTGAATTCAGTCTAATATTGTCACCAGGTAGGAAATATCAAGTACCAGCAAGGAACAGCCACCGGAATTGAAATCTCAAGGAATATCTGATGGGAAGAAAAACACACAGATTATTTTAATTAAAGTAAGAATTGTCAGGAATTTAAAGTGAATTTCAAATGTAGTTGGTATAGCTGACTTAAGACTTTTTCCAATTCAAATTTTAGATTGTAAGTTCACCTACAGTTCCCATATGTCAAACATGTTTTGTTAGAATTGTTTGTGTTGTTTGCCTGTTGTACAGTGCTGCAGAATATGTTGGGACTATATAAGTCATGGTAATTATAGATATTTTGGCCTCCAAGCACCATGACCACTTCAGTGAGTTAAAATAGTCTATGAAACACTATACATATGGAGTTTAACCCCCTATGATACCGGAAGTTTAACCCCACCTCCAGGAATGTTATTGGGGCATCATTAGCCAGCCCAGGGCTAGAGTTTCAGACAGTTGACATACAGGAGCAACGACAATTAAGAATTAATGCAGACATAACTACATACTACAACTATATATATGATAAAACCATTCACTTTCTCAGCATCTAATGGCTCTGTCTCTGACAATGATTTTTGAATAGCAAGGTCATTGACTTCTTTTTACAGATGCAATAAGTTACAGATTGCATTTAAAACTATAACCTAACTTGAATCTAATTGTCTTAGTGTTTTGGCTATTGATACACGAGAAAATTCATTAGAAGGCCCTCTATTTATGAAGGTGTGTCCATCAGTACCCTGAAGATGCAAATTTCTGTTCAGTATTGCTTTATTGGTAGCTGGCTCGCCTTCCTAACATTCAGACCTTTGTTCAAACTCTGATAATAACTTTACTATATATTTACCAAGCTACGGTCTTCATCAGAGACAGCGTGGGTTTACTTCAGGGAGATCATGCCAAACTAATCTTATTGATTTTTTTTGATT